GGAGTTCCACAGTGGGTGATTGTGAGTTGTGGGTGTGAGGACAGGAACATTCCCCTATCTCACAGGCCTCTTAACACCCAGCTTATAGCCTGAGGGGTCAGGTGTGCTCTGGGCAGCTGCTGCAAATGATCTATTGTTAACAGTTTCTGGGAAATGACATAGAGGGTTTAGAATACATAGTTTGGGTTATACCCACACAGTGATGAACTGGTCCCGGATGCTCTAACAAGGACATCTATATATACCTTAACTACTCCTAAAAATTATTTAGACTTTTAATGACTCTAAAGTGTTAAAGACTAATATCTAAAGTTGTTTCTCTCATGATTTTACTGTTCCACCCACTGTAAATCAGACTGTTATTTCAGCCTGATTAGGATCAGTTAAGAAATGCTTACATGCAATTTTCTTAAGCAACCACCTAAGAGCATTTCTGAGCTCATGTTTATCTGCTTTTGCACCTGCTTACTGATAATTTGATTTCCATAATGTATAAGGTCTTTGCAACACATTCAGATGTTTTGGTAATTTGCAGGATTAAATCAAAATATTCTATGACAAATTTAACTAGCTTTTTGACTGCCATGCAAGGGGCTGTGATTCCCACTGTGCTACCTGTTCCAGTCTTCATACTTAACTTTGCTTATGAAGGGATTTATATGCCAGGGTATCTTACATGATTTTAATATTCTTAGGAATGAACAAGAAGCAGCAGAAGGTGTCAGCTAAAGATGAACCAGCTTCAGGCAGTAAAGGCAGTAATACATCACAGGTACAGTACATCAACCATGTCTGGAAGATATATAGTTTTATGTTTGGGAACTTGATAGCCAAAAAGGAGGCAATGTTCCCTTTGGGAAAGCTAACAGTTTTATTTTGTTGAATGAAATCAACAACTTCAGATACTGCAACCATCAAATACAGTCCAACTGCTTTTAGTAACAATTTACAGAGTATACGGCAGATCCCTGTGCCCTTCTTATCATAGAATCATTAGAATATCCTGAGTTGGAAGGTACTCACAACAAAGTAGCAGTATTTGGGAAGAGAAAAAAACAAAATACAGATTGCATTATTACCCTTAGCAAACCCTTGCTTTCTGAGTTCTAGACTTTCACAAGAATGATGCAAAATTGAGAGTGGTTATTACTGAAAAATGAATAGCATTTCATTTATAGCAAGTCAGTTTTTCCTTTTCATAGTTTTAACATTAAACCAGTAGGATTCTGCTTTATCTAAAGCAAACTCATAGCAGTTATGTGCAGGGCTACATTTTGAAAAAGAAATCTATCTGTCTCTATAGTTATGTAAAAACTACAGAATAATTTGGCTTTGGAGACAGATTGGTGTGTGATGCGTGGGGGGGTTGTGTCCATGCAGTCAGGCCCAGGGCGCATCTTGCTTAGAGGATGAGACACACACGCAAGTTATATGTCCCGCAAAATGGCGGATTCCTTTATTACACGGGTGCTTTTATAGGGAGGGTGTAGAAGGTTCTGGGACAGGGGTAGGTTCCTGCCAGGGGGCATTGAATCCTGGGGGTTTCAGATAAGAGGGTTTGAAGAGATAGGTTAGGAGGACATGTTTATTCATTCAGGGGGAAGGGATAGCTAGGGGAAGAAGGGAAGGAGGGTCTTTGGGGGCCCAGGAGAGGGAAATCCTGCAGAGGTCTGTAAGGCTGGAGCTGGTCTGACCCCTTGCAGCTGGCCCCCAGGCAGTTCCGGGCAGCTGTTGTTGCCAGAAGCTCTATTCTCTGCAGGCTTCTTCTGGCCCCACCTCCTACAGGTGTGTAACAGCAAAAGTCCACAGAAACAAGAAGGACAGTAAAATATCAGGGTAGTGGCCAAAGAATCCATGATCCAATTCCCCTTGAAATTATTTTTTTCTACTATCAATTTGTTTGTCAGTAAAACCGCTATTTTTAATATTATTTGTTCTGTAATAATTAGGAACTTTTCTTTCTGGATAAAGGAACTCAAATCCCTCCCATGATATGCCAAAAAAAATCTTATAAATGTTTTTAGAAATTCTATTACATTTAGAAATACAATAGAAATGTTTTATAGATTGCCTCTATAAGTTTTCTCTTGTTTTTACATCTCAGTTACAGAAGAAAGGACAACAGTCACCATTTTTGCAAAGCCGTAACTTAAAATGCATAGCCTTATGTGAAGGTAAGCTGAAAGCCCTTGAAAAACTTTTTTAGTCATGGACACAGTGTTCTTGGATGCAAATTGGTGAGACCTTTAGTTCCAGTATTGTTTTTAGGTAAAAGAATACTGATAAGTGTACAAGTACTTGCTTAATACCTGTCCTTTATATTTCAGTTCAAAATATTTCCCTCTTCAAACAAAACCTGCAACACTTGCTGAATTTTCATGAAATAATCAAATGCACATAGCAACTGATCATCTGGTCTTTCAAATGTGATCATATTCCTAAGCCATCAATATAAAGTCATAGTCTTTATTTGAAATAGTGACTTCTTGCAAGCTCTTGACAAGCAATTAAACACCTACAAGTCAGAAACAGCTTTCCTATTGAATTTCCAAATATTTTTTCACTTCTCAGGCAAATATATTTTTTGTCTGGTAAGTAGTTCATTTTTCTCAGGCTCCAGAAATTTTGTGAAGTTAAAATCCAGTGCATATGAGCATGGTCATTCTTGAAAGACTTGTCTATTCTTTATTAATAATTAATAAAACCTCAGCAGGTTTTGAGAACAACAAAATATGAAATTTAAATAATAATTGTGCCAGCAATTGGTAATTAGTCTCGTTGACCAGACAAAAAGAAATTATATCAAACTCAGTTTGCCCTCCATTTTGAGCATTTGTTTATTTTTAAAAGTAAAAATTCAGATAGATAGTGGAAAAGAATTATTTGAAATTGGAAACTTTAGGCTATATATGCTTAAAGTGAAATATTTAATATGATTAGGGAGATGTCAGTCAACAGGAAAATGCAATTTGATCTGGACGGAAAAATGTATAAGTTTAGTTCTAAAACTTTCAGAAGAAGATATGAAATGAATCTAGGGTTTACTAGAATTTACTTGGTCTTCAATGCCTGAAGTTTCTAAATATAAATCACGTCTTTCCCAAGGTCTTTTTCATCTATGTTATTCTTTCCTCATATTTATTACTGGATTATGGATTCTATAAGGATGAATTTTAAATATTTGGTAAAATATATTTTATGTAATTCATATTTATTTCATTTTTCTGTGAAAATAAGTGTTTAGAGGAGGTGGTTAATATATATTTTAAATAAAATCAATTACAATAGAAAAATGTTTGTTAAAAATTGCAACTCATAGAAGATATGGGAAAAAACTGAATATGCATTTATTCATGGTAGTGTTTAAATGCACTCATAGAAATCTTTTCAAATGATTTCACAGAATATTCTGAGTTGGAAGGGACCTACAAGGATCATTGAGTCCAACTCTTAAGTGAATGGTCCATATGGGGATCAAACTCACAATCTTGGTGTTATTACCACTATGTTCTAACCAACTAAGCTAATTTCAGTCCTATATAGATTGATAGTAAAGATTCTTTCTAGCAATAAAAAGGTTTCTTTCATGTGTTGTCCTAATTTTGCTCATAAATAACCTATCAACAATACATTGTTGTCTTCTTGGGCAAGTTTGGGCAAGCTTTGTGAACCCCTTGCGTCATAATTGCTATGCTAAGTTTTGAAAAATACTTTGTATTGTTGCAAACTCCAAATTTGTGGCACCTCAGTTTCAGGTTTTATCTTTCATATCTTATTTTTGGCTCAGTCATCATCAAACACAAATATCTCAGTTCCAAAGGTTGATTAGTTGACTGAGATGCTCTTTAACAGCCCTATGGTCATTTAAAATCAGTTTTTAATAAATATACTTTTTCATTTTGCATTCCAATTAAGAACTGGCTGCCATACATCTGTGTTTTCTGGATAATATAACATATTTTGGAAACAAGAATCAGGTTCATTTCCCTGTTCCAGCAACCAGCTCAGATTCTATGCTATGACACAGACATGCGCTGGAAAACTACACATTCCCAGAAAGCTATTTAAAGCATTTAAAGAAGAAAATATTTTAAAGCAATATTTTCCAGTCATGTTTTCATCACTATGGAATTTATTCTTCCCCTAATAGTGATAACTTCTTCCAATCTGCACAAACATGGAGAGATATGGGTAGTTCCGAATACGGATCATGTGTGTACAAGATTTTTCTTTGTGTGAGTACAAAGCTTCTTTTAATATT